GAAGCTTCTCCGACCCCATAAAGTATATATATTCTTGATCAGCATCAATAGCCGAGTCGATCTAGCCATGCCCGTCTGCCTGTGCGTCCGTCCGTCCGTCCGTATGTATGACCGCAAGGATCTCAGAACCTATAAGAGCTAGAGACTTGAAATTTTAGATGTAGATGCCCCTAGTTCCCGCGCAGATCGAGTTTGTTTCTGATAATCGATAACTTACTCCGTTTCCAAGCAATCAATCAAAATCGATATCGATATCCTGTTTTTTGGGCAATTTTGGTAAATAATAAGAGCTAGAGTAACCAAACTTGACATAAAGCTTCTAAAATAGTAGGAAGTTCCCGACTAGGAGGTACCCTGAACCTTCTTCTACAAACACCAAATGCAGCTCGCACTGCGAGCTCGATTGCCTAAGTGGTAATAAAAATAAATTTAAAAAAAATCCTTAATTGGACTGGAACCCATAATCAAACGAACTGCCCGGCAACGCTTTTTCTCAACAGTGAAAGCTACAAGTTATTTTCGGTGAAAAAAAGAAACAATTAAAATAGCTACACATAAACACGTACAGAATACAATGAAATCACAATTTCAATGCTGTTGATAGAATTCAATAAAGACGCGCGTGTTTGTGTGCATTTGAGAATTTCAAAAAGATCGGTTAAGACAAAACCAATGTTATATGTAACTGCGCAATTGGATGGGACAGCTAGCGAATACTTCAAGAATTTCTGTATACATGTACACGCACATATTCATGCGCGCCTGCTTCGCATACTAACAGCATGGTAATTGCAAATTTTTTCTGTAATGCTATTTTAGTTTGTTTTTTTTTCTCAAAAATACTTAATTATTGGTGTGGCTGCTGAGTAGAGGCAAAGCAAGTAATGCAATCAGTTGCAATTTCGAACCCTGCCAAGGGAACTTTTTTTTTTTAATTTATTTGGTGTTGGAATAAGAGGGTTCAGGGTATTCCGTAGTCGGGAGCTCCCGACTAGAACCTCATTCTTGTTAATTTTCTCGTGCTTTAAAATAAAACATGAAGGAAAGCTCTAGTCCAAAGCTGCAGTTACAATTACTCATCGTACACACACACACGCACGCCGTTATCCTCACACATTACGCTTTATGTTCCTCATTAATCTCGGTGATTATTGTCCGATTTTTATTCAGTATTCAAGGCATAGGTATGTCAATCAATGGTGTATAGATACTAATTATTGGGAAACTAATTAAAGAGGGAAATATTCAGGAACCTGTGTATATACGAGACTCTATATACTATACACTGGTTGATTTACACTGGCAATAGAAGCTACGTTCAAAATTTCAAGTGTATAGCTTTAATGGTGCTTGATAATCTGTACATAATATTGTGTGCATAATATTCATGAACTTAAATGTCAAAACTAAAGCTTTCATATTCTCTGAGATCGATGTTTTCATTACAAATAGACGGATATCCGTAATGACATGAATGTCAATGGTGAAATAAAATAAACTTAATTTTGTTTTGACATATTTTAATTTTTTTATATTTATTGTTTATTTGACGAGCCTTTTATTTGTATACGAACGATGTGCTTGTGCAATGCATAGAGGGTAGCATTATGTTTGTCAGATGCTTATTTGTTTCGACCTTTAAAATAACCTGAGGTTAATAGAGTCTTTCCAATATGTTTATAATTTTTTTTTTAGTATCGTGATCGCTTTTAGAATTATATTCTAAAATCAAGGCTGAAAACCCAAAAAATTGTTCGGTGGTTCGGTTCACGCTACTCGTCTTAAAGTTCGGTTTATGAACCTCGATTTTCATGTCCGCGAACCTTGGCTTTGTGGAAAATCCAAAATAGCCGAGTTTATCTAGCCATGTCCGTCTGTCCGCATGCATGGACAAAAGGATCTCAGAGACTAGTGCCTCTTAGGTTTTAAGACATACATATAATATATATAGTTCAAGTATCTCTCATTTCATAGCTATAACCAGTATTATTTACTTTATCAGGTATTAATATAATGACGTTAGAAATGTCGTGTCTGTTTCTAATATAGCATTTTCTGCTAAAGGTACGTATTTTACCGATTTCGGAAAATCCTTCACCTAAACAAGGTGTAAATTTGTTTGTGACGACGGATGGAGTGTACATCAACGCACAGATCAAACCATAAGATTTTGGCTATTGTTACCTTGTATCAAAGAAAAAGTAAACACTAAGATGAGTAACGCCACACAACAAAATGCTACTTTGCTCCTTGATTTTTGGAAAATTGAGAACGAAAACGAAATCAGTATCATTGCGCTTTCACAGCTGAAAGAATGAAAACGCTAAAAATCAGAGCTCGCTAAAAAAAATTGGCTGTAAAAAATAAACAGTTTTTGACGGACTGAATGAATATGGAAGAAAGAAAACACAGGAAGTGCTGTTTTTACGCACCAGACACTAAGAACGAGCAAAAACACTTTTCGTCGTTTTTTCCAAGAACACAACAGAAAACAAAACTGGAAAAGTGTCTTTTGTGGATTTGCATCCGTGGATGATAGGACACATATATTAAGTAGCCTAGTGTACATGCATAACAGTATTATGCCCTTTTTTTCTATTTCTCTCTCTCTTTCTCGCTCCAGCTTTAATTAATACCATTACACGACAACAACAAGAAAAGACAACTTTCGCTTCCACTTCTTTCGTTATGCTCTTTGACAGAATGTGTCCTGTTAAGATGTTGCTGTTAGACAGAACAGTGCGCATTGCTCAACCAGAAGCAAAAAACAGAACACATAAGCGCAACGAATTTAAACGTTTGATGATTGCGAGACCGAACCATCTTAGTTTTTTCTGTTTTTTTGTGATTTGAGTAACATCCTCCAAAGATTTTACAAAATTAAAAAACAAAAAAGATTCAAATTCTATGCTGTAATAAATGTTTTTACAGCTACGCCAAATTGTTTTGCCGTTCGCTTTTTGGCGATCCCGTTAGATTTTGGCCCATGCGTTTTGGCTTCTCTTGTGTCTTCGACTTTTCTAGTCATTTTCTATTACAATTTGTAACGTTTGGCTTCAATTTTGTGAAAAATTAAATGCCAGGAAAAAATTACTTTTGAAGTCGTTCAGCTGGTGTATTATAACCATAAGATGGGACGTCAACTCTTGGAACTGGATTGTATGTTTCATTTATCAAAACCGACGATATACAACATAATAAACAGAGCCAATTAGGAAGATAGGCTAGAGGCAAAGCCAGTGGTCGTCCCTCTAAAATTTCTGACCGATATAAGCGAAAAATTCTCAGAAAAAATATAAGAAACTGGTGTTTATGTTTCACATGAAGCTGTCCGAAAACTGCTAAATTCGAACGATTACACATCACGAGTTGCAAGGAAAAAATATTACTTTCGGCGGCCAACATTTTGAAGCGGCTATCGTTCGCTCAAGCCCATGTAAATAGGTCGAATGATTTTTGGAATAACGTCATATTCTGTGACAAATGCAAAATGATGTTATACTACAATGATGGGCCATCCAGACGCTGGAGAAAGCCACTAACAGCGTGGGAAAACCGCAATATTATTCCAACAGTTAAATTCGGAAAACTTTCAGTAATGGTGTGGCGGTGTATTTCTAGCAAAGGTGTAGGAGATTTGACCTTTATTGAAAATACTATGGATGCTAGACAATATCTGAGCATTTTACTGGCAAATCTCGTCAGCAGCGCATGGAAATTTGGGTTTTAGGAGGGCAATAAGCCAGTTTTTCAATTTTACCAAGACAATGAACCGAAGCACAAAGCTCATATGGTGAGGGTGTGGCTGTTATAGAACTGTGGAAAGTTATTGGACACTCCACCACAAAGTCCGGATATGAATCCAATAGAACATGTTTGGTCATATTTGAAAAAAAAAGTCGGAAAGCGGAGTCAAAAATGAAAGAATGGCAAAAGATTCCAGAAACATACATACAAAATCTTATTGTTTCAATGAAACGGTGAATGCAGTCTGTATGTGACGCTAATAAAAGCCACGCAGAATACTAAATACAAAGTATTCCTGTTGTTAAACATTGTTCTTTAGTAATAAAGTTTCGTGTAAAAGTACTTTTTTGACACTATAAAATTTTAATGTTTTTAGTTTTTTAATTCTGTAAAATCTTTTGATAATGATACTTAGATTCAAGGAAAAATAAAGAATCCAAATAAAATATAAATGAAAAAAGTTCTCACTTGTCTTTGAAAACGCTATGATTTTAAGGAACTTGACATAAGAGGTTGGGGTGGAACCGCTCGCTTGCCTAAGGAGATGGCCTATTCTGCCCGGCATTGTCCGAATTTAGCCACAGACTTTATTGTTATGGTTCTTCCACGTATGTCACTTGTCTACTTGTCTACTTGTCACTTGTCTACTTGGTCGTACCAAGTTACGTGAAGTTGACTGTGTGCCTGGTTTTCTTTTCGTCCAGTTGCAGCTGGTTTAAGAGACAGGCCGCGATAACGGCATGCCGTGTTGGGTTTTTCGATAATTGTTCGTGTTGCGCAGAACCGGCCACCAAGATCTTTTTTCATATTCATTTAAGATTTGGTGGTTACTTTAAAGTTATTAGAAGTTACGGAAATACATTTTATATTCAAGGAAATTTACAGTTTACGCAAAATCTAGTGTTTTGAAATAAACCCCTAGTAATATTAAAGGTTTTATGAACGAAAGTTTATTTTTCCTTCAATATTCTCATTGATTTCAAGTTTTCGTTCTTTTTTTGATGGATTTCCCCCTAATTTTCCAAAAACTACGTCAATATATGTCTAGACATGGGGTTTAAGATAGTACGGATAAATTTAAATTATCCACGGACGGAAAATGGGTCGAAAATTATTGTCTAAAATTAAAAGGAAAATAGCTGGACCGGGCGAGGCCGGGAAATACCAGCTAGACATTTTTTATTATTTATTGATTTGTATGACAGTTATAAGCTTTGCCCAATAACTTTTCCCGCTTTAACAGATTATCTTACCTCCACGTATCCAAATGTCCACCCAACGAAATATCCCGTCCAAAATGTGTTAGACCGGCAAATCCGAATGATCCCACGTACCGGCCAAACGGGGAAACCGCTGTACCTATCAAATATTAATAATAAAGAAGTTAGTGGAAGTTATTGATTGTTCAATTTACAGCTTACCGATATGACTAGGTGGTGCACCTAGAAAACTTGCAGCAAGTGGTGAAGCTTCAAATGGCGATCTGGCATACGCAGCTGATGTCAGTTCACTTGATCGATGTAGAAGGTGCGGTGACGTTGAACTTAGGGTCAACGCAGTCGAGGGTTTCATACTAAGTGATGTTGCGGGTCCACTGGCCACAACGACACTGGTCGCGGAAACAGCTATGTTGCTTGCAGGTATACCCACAGTAGCTGTGTTCATACTAAGCGCGCTACTAGTTGCACCAGAAGTCCCAGAGTTTACACTGCTACCGTTGTTGTTAAGGCTAGAACCCACAATGGACACAGTTTTTTCAGAATTTTGTTTGTTTTGGTGATAGTAAATTTCCCACGCAATTCGGACATGCATAGCATTCCAACGTCCAGTTTTCTAATTAAAGGAAAATTATATTTTTTAAGTATATAAAATGTACATTTTCTTTTAACGACGCAGTAAAGCTTTCTAAATGTTAATGACTACAAAAGGCAAAAAAGTTTTTTGTACAGCTAGCAATGTTTATATTTATTATATATACATATATACTAGTGGGTATAACCCGGCCTTGCCCGTGACAAGTATAAAACAAATTCTCTTAAAGATCATTGAAAATGAGTTAAAAACCGATCGGACGGCAAACAAAAAATTTGCATACAATCGTTTTCTGCTAATTTACCACACGTTTTTGTAAGGTTATTTTGTAGGCTTTGAAAATAATTTTGAAGATAATCGGACAAAACTTAACACTTCACCGAAAAATCTTTGAATCGCACTCTCCACTGAGGAAGATTTGATTTTGCGGAAAATGGCAAACACGTCTCAAATGATTTCTCATATAAATCCTCTGCTTCAATCTTCACATAGATACCATCGTTAATGAGGCAAAATGTGTACTTGGATTCATTAAACGATGGTCTAAAGATTTTAACGATCCTTTGATAACGAAACTTCTGTACACCTCTCTTGTTCGCCCTATCCTTGAATACTGCTCTTGCATCTGGTCTCCGCAGTATAACAATAGCCAGGATCGTATTGAATCTCTTCAGAAGCAATTTCTGCTTTTTGCCTTACGAGGTTTAAATTGGGACCCTAATCTTGGGTTGCCATCCTACTCCAGCAGACTGCTTCTTCTTAATCTTCCGTCCTTAACGAGTAGGAAAATTCTCGGTGTTGTCTTTCTACATAAGTTGCTTGTCCGCGATATAGTTTCTGCTTTTCTGCTAGGGCGTCTTCAATTCTCTGTTCCGGCTAGACCAACCAGAAATTACCGCCCCTTATTCCTATTTACGTGCACAACAGACTACGCTATGCACAATCCTTTTCGCGTGCTATGTAAAAATTACAATAGTTTGCATCACGTTGTTTTCAGGATACCTTCGGAAAGTCACTGACCATTCCCAGCTATGACAGGCTGTACATTTTTCCCACCGGATCGGTGATTTCCCATTACTTTCCCAATACTATCTCCTTATCCTATCTACTTAACACTCTATATATCTAGCATACATTTTTTTTACTTTATTGACAATCTTCTTACTTTCTTTTTTCATATTAATTGTATTTTCTTTATTAATATAGCAAATTAAGATTATTTTTAATTTAACTTAAGACCACTTTTTTTCTACTTACACCCTTCTTCTTAAATGTAGGCTTTAATAGCGTCACTTACAAAATTGGCTGTGAAAAGAGGCACAGTTGGCCGGACTGGGAAATAAAACACTACCATCGGTCGGTGATGCTATTAGAAAATTGTGTTCTCTAACTAGGCTTTTAGCATTTAATTTCTATTATGTATGTATAATCTATTGAATAATGAGGAAGACACTCATTTTGTAGACCATTAATAATTAAATAAATAAAATAAAATAATGAACACCGCTGACGAGATGGTATAAATCGGAAACAAGTAAGACGTTCTAGTCGAGAGCTCCCGACTAGGGAATACCCTGGACCCTCTTCTTCCAACACCAAATGCAAATATATATACTATTCTAGAAGCTACATGTCAAGATTGGTGACTCTAGCTCTTATTAGTTACCTAAATTGCTTAGAAACAGGATGTCGATATCGATTTTTATCGATTACTTGGAAACGGGACAAGTTATCGATTATCGGAAACAAACTCGATCTGGGCAGGCACTAGGAGCACCTACATCTAAAATTTCATTTCTTTAGCTCTTATAAGTTCTGATATCCTTGCGTTCATACATGCGGACGAACGGACAGACAGACGGACATGGCTAGATCGACTCGGCTGTTGATGCTGAATATATATACTTTATAGGGTCGGAGATGCTTCCTTCTGCCTGTTTCATACATTTGCACAAATACATTATACCATCCAACACCGATAACAGTTTGGATTAGAATTGACTTGATACATATAAAATATGGAATAATTAATGGAAATGTTAGTGAGATGGTACATGACGATATTCCTTTATAGGGAATGCTAGAGGTGTTTAGGCGAGGCTTGGCTAGTGCGTTAGGTGAGGGCAAGTATCCCTCGACCAACAAAATTGGGTACTTGTGATTCCTCAGTCGACTGATCTTCATCCAGTTTCAAAGAAAACAAAAGAGCGATATATGAAACAACTGCTAAAGCCCGATGCCCGCGCCATTCTGTTTCCATAACGCTGGATATATGCAAGAGATATGTGACTCTGTCTATATTTCTTATCACGACAATATTTGCATAGCCCTTATAGGGGGCTACGAATCTATAGGGATGGCTGCCTGCCTAACAGTCAATATCAATCAGTCTAGACGACACAGTTTAGTTAAGCGTTTTCTATAGCGGTTCGGCAAGGTTTGTCTTGGGATCCAATATAAATCTGTTGCTTGGTTTCATCTTTGATTGGCCACAAACTCGAATAGTTTTTGGATTTAGACTGGTATACCGGTGTTTTTCTAAGCGCTGAGATGGATATCTGTGGTTCCCAGACTTGCCAAATTGTCAGAGCGACTGTAGTTACGATATCTTTGTGGCTTTGGTAATGAGGTAATCTGCAAAGTGCTTGGCAAGCACAAGCACTTCTCCTTGAGCGAATTACGGCTGATGTTAACAAATATCGAATTTTATCACAAATAATCAACGGTAGCTGCTAAGCTCGTCAGAATACATACAGAGGCTACTTGAGATTAGCGATCACAGAGAGTGCTTCTTGTATTGAAGTGACTTCTAGTTGGAAGACGCTGAAATGATTCGGCCTACGACTATGTTCTTGGTCTAAAAGAAATCTTTTAAATGTAAATTACCTTATGTGATAAAGGTGCACGTTAAGACGGGAGTTCGGGGATTATGGAAAAATCGCGAAAAACATTTGTATAAAACTTTTCTTTGTTCAAATTCATTTTAGGGCTATTTCACACTTTTCCAGAAATGTACTCCTTGGTGGAAATGGGTGTCAAAGATTTGGTGGATGACGTTTCGCGCTGAAATTCATTTTCAAGGATCCATAAGATAAAAAATCATTTGAGACCTGTTTTACATTTTTGCAGAATCAAAGCAATGAAATTATTTACAAAATAACTCATTACACATTCAATTCCAGGCAGAAGAAAGCATTTCGGACCATATAAAGTATATATATTTGATCTAGCCATGTACGTTTGTCTGTCAGTATGCATCGATCTCAGAACCTTACAACTAAAGAATTTCCGAACGAAGAGAAAGTTTCCGACCATCGATAACTTTCCACATTTCCAAACATCGATATCGGAATACAGGTTTTTAAGTATATCTTTTAGATTTTAAGAGCTAGTCACCAAATTTAAAACGTAGCCTTTAGTATAGAATAAACAGATCAGCTATCCCGCAAAATTAAATCAATTTAAACCATAATTGGAACCAACTGACAATTCAAAGCATAGTTTAAAGCGATTATATGAATATTATATGGCATAATCAGATCTACTGCAGAAAATTTCACAAAGACCGATCAAGAAGCATAAAAAAAAGAACTGCGTGTGTCTACAGTGATCTTGGTATTGTTCTACAAATCAATAGGCACTCCAATCGATTTATCGACATACTGCAGAACCACCCACGCCAACCGTTTTGCCACTGAAATGACCATGTATTTGCCCAATTATCAATGACTCTCTTGGTTGCACGCGACTGCAATGTTCTTGTTTATTTATAGCTTTCATATTTATAAGTCAAAATGTTTATAGTGAATTGTTTGATATGAACTAAATTTAAAGCTAGCCGGCTCAATTTCAACGTAGGTCATAACGACCAACAACAACAAGGTATAAACACCAAGAGTAAACAGGTACATCCTGCCGGTTCTATTATTATCAGTGTACATAAAAAACATTGTCATTGTTTTGTTGATAGTGAGAGATACCCTTTAGCAAATATAGTCTATGCAGAAAAGACTAGTAGTAAGGTTCGGACTGAGGACAGGGCCATGAAATTCTAATGTCGATAGCAAAGTTTGCTGGTGATAGAACCAGCAATGTCGGGAAAAAGCTATACAGATAAGATGCTCATTTTTGTGCTTATACATTATCATTGCTGCTTGTTATGACCAACATTGACCTTGAGCCGAATACCTTAAAATTGTATTATATATTAATATATTGTCCGAACTTTTTCGACAGGTTTTAAGATAATTAAGCCACTCGTTCTTACCTTTGGGGCAAATGTAGTCAAATGATTGGGTGGCATAAATGGAGTTGGTCCTCCCAAACCACTATGCAAAAGACCTGTTGGATTATATCCCGAATATCCAGGAGGTAGTCCGATACCAGCACGATAAAACTGCGGGTCGACAGCAGCTACTTTGGGAATGTCTTTAAATAGTGGTGGTGGAAAAATCTGTGCTGAAGTGGGTGTCGTGGGCGGCAGTACAGTGCTAGTGGCTGACATAGGTGGCGCCGGCATAAGCTGAGAATGTTGATGCAGGTGCGTGTGCTGATGTTGATGATGGTGCAATTCTTGCCGCAAATATGTCGACGAGGACGCTGTAGGAGGTTGGGTTAAGCCAGAGCGATCCAAAAAGCGACTGTCAAGCTCGCGACGCAATAAGTCCGCTTGATCATCTATTTAGAGCAAAAAAATAAATAAAAAATTATTCTGATATTCACTAGAGAGATACTAGTTTGAGACTTTTCATACTTTTGCTTGGCTGGAAAAGAGATTCTGCGGAAAATGGGTGTGGTGTAGGTGTAACTGCTGTGGTTACCGTTGCTACATTTGATTGTGTATTACCCATTGTACTGATTGATGATGTCGTCGTTGTCGCTGTGGTCATCGTCGCAATAACAGCCGTTGTGTGGGGTACTAAAGGTAAATGAGAAACTGAACTGTTGCTACTTGCTGCAATGGAAATGGTAGCAGCTGAAGATGAATGTGATGGTGCATGGGGCGTAGCAAAATATGTGGCCTGAAAATTAGGGATTGGAACATGCCCACTGCCAACAGTGGAATGTACCGCTTGAGGTGAAATTGCATTTCCAGCTACTCGTGCAGGTGTCCCTGTGGCAACAGAGTTCAGAGGTGAGGGTAATGGTCGAGCGTTTCCACTAGACACAATGGGAATTGATGGTGTACATGTCATTGCCGACGTCTGCATAACTGAAGGGCTGAAAGTATATAAGAAAATTACAATACAATAATAAATTATTCAAGTATATACAATGCTAGCGGGTATTACCCGGTATTGCTTAAAATTTGAAATGCTTATTTCTCACCTATTTTGCGCCCGTTGAAAATTAAAATTTATTCTATCTCAAGTTGAATTTACCAAAGCTATTTGAAATAAGTTTAAATCATATCGAATTGAAAACTATAAGTTGGAATTAATATTTTAGTTCCGTGGTATAATACTTAAAGCCATAAAAATAAAATAAATAAATAAATAAAAGTGTGAAACACGCTTCAAATTAATTTGAACAAAACTATTTAAAAATGAGTTTGAAACCGATTGGAATGTAAACAAAAAAGTTATATACAACAGTTTTATATATAAGGGCTAGCGGTTATTACCCGGCCTTGCTCGTGACAAGCCTAAAGTTTTAAATAATAGTAAAGAATTGAATAACTTTTTCTATCAGTGCCCGCCATGAAAACTTAAAATGTACCCTTACTATCTTGAAATCCACGTCTATTTGAAAATATGTTTAGTCTATCAAATAAATTACCAATATTTGGAATCAACACTATCCGCCAATGTTAGTCTTGCGATAATTAATGAAGTCAAAAAATAAACATTCGCTCATTCAACCTTTGACCCCCATTTTCCAACCGCCAAACCACAACTGCAGTGGCAATTTCAGCTTCTTAGTTCTTACGATTGGTCTGAGCGTTGATCACCAATTGGTCAGTCAGTTAGGACAAACAGTTTTATATATAGAGAATATAATGTTTTTGGCGACCTTTCCAGTTTATAATTAAAAATTTTAATATAGAGAATTTATATCGAACGACATTCGAAATATCATACTTTAACCAGAGTCCTGTCTTTGTAGTATATGCAGATATACTATGTCCGCCAACTGCTAGAACTGAATGTGTTGCTGATGACAACGTAGTCGATGACGAAGCAGAAACGGCATTGTAGGGTGTCGACGACACTAAGCTGCAAAATGCTGGGCCAAATGTAATGCCTGGTGGTCCGCCTGACACCGACACGCTATTACTTGGACGCACGGCTGTAATGCTGCGAATAAATTAATATATTCATAGATTTAAAGTTAAATGTATGTATTAATTTCTGACTGACTGCTGATCAACACATAGCCCAAACTGAAAGTGCTAGGAAGCTGCAATTTTAACAGAAGCGTTCATTTGAGACGAAAGCAAAAAAATCGAATCATGAGCCTATGTGCGTCGTCCCCTAACAAGAGGCAGTTCGACGGTTCACATTAAGAAGCAATTGTCAATTCATATATTTATTTATTCATATTTATAGAGCAAAAAGGCAATAATAATAAAATACTTGTTATGAAATGGAAATGTGTAAGCAATGATAGATTGTTTTTCTTTTGTATTTTTTTTTATTTTATCAATTAAAAGTAATCTAACCCCAACGAAAACGAAAGACATATTTTAAATAAAAGAGAGAATATATGAAGAATAATCTATATGAGCAAGGAGTGCACAAATTAATTTCTAAGTCAGTGTTCAGTTAGCTTATTGATTGGGTCGCAGTGGGGACAATGAGGCAGATAAATTTTTCGATGTGGATAAGATAATAAGTAATTAATAGACTGGAGGGATGGAGGATGAGAGTAGTACATAGTACATAGATACTTTGTCGCAACTTGAGTGGCTTTTCTTTTGGTCGATTGTTTGTAGACCCCGATATAGCTGATATGAAAACAATCGGTCGATAATTAAAATCTTGTTTATAAAGATATCTTGGCCATACTTCTACTATGCTTTATATGAGCCAAATCCTATCAACATCAGAACAACATCAATTCTAAAAGTGTATTTAATCTTCAGCTCGCCGAAGAAGTAGGTTATTTATTTTTCATTTGATCGAAATATATTAAATTGCTCAAGGTGTAGAAAAATAAAATAAAAAAATGGACTTCCCGCCACGACAGCTCCATCTCTTTTTGGCTAAGCCGGTAAAATATTCTTTATCTTATTATGCAATAACATGCTCCCCAGTCCCACAATGTTCACGCATTCCTAGAGAGCTGCATGGCTTCACTCACAACATACGTTGAATTGAATGGACTCGAATTGAATTGAATTGAGTGAGTGCGAGGCTCACAATGAAACGAATGAGTACCAATGTGAGTGTGTGTTGTGTCTCATACCAGACGGCATTCATCGAAATAAGTGAGAATAAAAAAAGCGTAAAGCGGATGAAAAATTTGGCACAGCCGAAGAAACTCGAATTACTCGAGTGCGTGCCTTCATTTCGTTCGATACAACAGACTCAAGCAGTCAAAAGAAATGGGCGAAGAAAAAAACGGTGACGAGACTGTATGTATTTTGCAAGCGCATTTTGTTGTTTTTGTTTTGTTTTTTCCCTTTCTTCTTATGCGCGACAAGACAACAACAATTAAAAAGCGGTTGGTCATTCGAATGCATTCGAAACGAAACCTCTTATTCCAACGCATTCCCACTCATTCAATTCGTTTTCTTTCGTTTCGATGTTGCGCGTCCGAGTTCTACGTGACCGCACTCACTCACCCAAACATATTCGGCTTTGCATTCAATTTCACTCAACTCATTTTTGGCATTGTTTTGTTGAACGTGGCTTTTTGCCATTCATGCAGCTCTCTATTAACTACATTAATAAATACTCGGTATCCCCGTGGTCAAATGAATGGCAATAAAAATATAACCGAAATTTACAGACACCTTTATGTCTTCGCATTCACTTGTTTCCCCAAAGGAAGCTTCAGGAGAAATATTAGCTTCGTAGCTTTTATTGTTTGGGCTGTGCGTTGGTCGTTGTTTTGTCAGTGAGGACAACCAGTTTTATACATTAGAGATATTATTATTTTAGTAGATTGGTTGTATTATGAGATTAATTATAATTATTATTAAATTGTAATACCTGTAGCTTGTGTCCCGATCTCTGCTAGGGCTCCCGCTTTTGGGCGAAACTATTTTTTGAATCACAGATGACGATGCTATAGATGCGGTTAATGACGTCGACGGCATCGCCGTCATTAAACTTTGTACAGTAAGAACTGAAGTATTACTGATGCCATTGGCAGAAGTGGTAGTGCAACGTAAAAGTGGCTGCTGTTGTGTCGACGTTGAAGGTGCGAACTGTGGATATGAGCTTAGTACTTGAGGAAGGTGGGTTGGATACCCAGTTTGTGGAAGCATTTGCATTGGTGCAGATTGTTGTAATTGTGAAGTAGCCGCAACTGAAATTCCGGAGGATGTAGACAATTGTGATGTTGCAATAGCTGATCCGGTGGTTGTCACCCCAAACGCACCTGCGGCGTTAGCTGTTAAGTGTCGTGAGTGCGTCGAATTTAACAAAGGTACTGTCGTTACCGTTGTTGTAGCCATTGTCCCTAATACCTGGGTTGTATTATTATTGGAAATCACATAACCAAGTGGCGTAATAGGTCGCATTCCTCCGATGCCGCTGACACTGTACTGATGATGTGTAGATGCACTTGTTACTGGTGCTTTTAAAGATGATGTTGTCGCCGACTCTCGACTGTTGCGAGCATCCGAACGCTGAGGCGACGACGAGGTATTAGAAGACCCTATGGGTATCACTTGCGACAGGTATTGTCCATGTGCTATGTTATTATATGGTGTATATAAAGCTGAATAGTGGGGAAAGGAAGTACGGTATGGTGTAGCTTGAATTAGCATAGGTAGGCCTGCACCCGAATGAGGCATCAGTGGGGGTGCACCATGAAATACCAATGAAGATCCTGCTGCCCCAACTGGACTACTTCCTGTACTAACTGATGTTTTTGCAATGCCGGAGGCCGCAGCTGCGCCAGAACTAACTGCCGTAATAGGTGGCAAAGTCATAGGAACAGAAAGCACCTTGTTTCCCGAGTGTGGAGCGATATGTGAAAGAACACTTCCAACATTTGATGTTGCACAAGTAACAGATGTATGACCAGAAAGGAATCCATTAGCAATTGAGGATGTAGACGTGGGTACTGAGCTATTAGTGGTCTTCTGTGAATCTAGGGATGCAGCTGTTCCTAGCCCATCCATGCTCAGCATTGCATTATCATTAGATTTAATATTGGCTGCAAGCAATAAATTGGAAGTTCGCTCGCCGAATGAACCATGTAATGGTGCTATTGTGACGGAAGTTAGGGGAGTACCCAAAGGAATCGTAGGCTTTTGCACTGGAGTCTCCATCCCAAGTGGCGTTACCATTTTGTTGCTTAGAGTAATTCCTTGAGCATTTACCGATGACGTCAGTTCAAGTCCGCATCGTCCGGCTTCTGATGTAAGATATGACTCGCAACCAGCGGAAATAGTAAGGCTAGTCACCTAGAAAGTATTGAACAATTTTAACAAAGAACTAAAAGAATAAAAAACCAGCTTACTTGTGCAGATGTTGCCGCAGGATGGTGTATGGTATGCTGTAAATTATCTGTTCCCGTACTTAGTTTTTGATTATTCCCATGACCTGTTGCAGACTTCGTCGTCAGAAGTGTTGGTGGTACCACACTGACGGTTTGTTGTAAGCCAGCAGATTCGGTAATACTCTCGCCGGCAACTGTAAGAGACCCATTTGCTCCAACACCAGGTAAAGTGTTTGACAGTGTACTTATATCTTGCGATAATACCGGTATATCGTTACCACACACATTTGCAGCTACACATTCCGTACGAGTAGTCTGTGGTTGTGGATATTCCGTTGAATTGCGCGTTGATGATTGTTGAAGCGCATCGTTTGACATATGGTTTGGCGTTGAAGGAAAAACAAAAGCTACCAAGTTTTCTGGATTCTATTTAATGAAAAAACACAATTAAAAACTCAATTATCAATCAATTTTTTTTTTTTTTATTTACTGATTTGTCATTGCAGCAATTAATATCTTACTATGCACATTACATTAGGACTATATTGCTAAGTATATAAGTTAACCCAATTACCCAACAACAGGGAACACTAACTAAGCACCCATAAGTGGCATGTTGCGATGCACCATCAGCGGCTTCTGCGGGCATCGAACAGCAACAAAGTTGCGGACGCCGCCGACCGATATACGACATATTTTAGCAACGACAGTGTCAGAATAAAAATCACAACAACAGAAGCAACATACAACTCCACCGCCGACGGCAGCAAATGGAACATTTTTACAACAACAACAAACCCTTCAATGACTTAAGCAGTTTATAGGAATTAAATAAGAGCACATAAGTGGACTGCTCATTGATATCCTATCTTTTTATATTGCAATCATAGCAACAGTTACAAAGCTAAGTTCCCAATCTTTGGGCAGTAAAACTATATAAAAATAAACAAAAGCCCTATAGAAGTGATAGTTAAATAGATAGATTTACTCGAACAATTTTAAAAATTAGGCAGTAAAGAATGCAAAAAAAATCATTGCGAAGTGTTAGAAATCAAATAAAACAAATTTAATATGGCAATGCCAACAAATCAATTGCAGATATTAATAGAAACCGAATTTAATATCGCACTTGCTGCTCAAGAAACGAAATTTGAGGCTCTGAAATATTATATTATTATTATTGGTTCTCCTGACCCAGCAGCGTCAACATTGTTCAATAAACCACCAAGAAACATTAAGTCTACAATACTTACAAAGACTGAGTATAGAGAACGTTCGGTACATTGGCGAAATCGAGAAAAAATTAATTATATAGCCCTTAATATATGGATTGAGCGTGACTACTTTTTTGGTTTTAAGCTCCTGGAGACTTGAGGTCAACGAGACATTCTAGCTCTTAATGAAGATTCAGCGTTTGGATATCGATATATTTAAATTTTTGATGCAACAACGATAATTTGATTTTTAAAAACCTTGCGCCCTGTTATACGTGAGCTTATATATAAAGCTGATCGGACGGTAAACAAACAACTTTCATTCAAACGTTTTCCTCCAATTTACAACTGTGTGGAGTGGAATTGCCCAAATCGCAGAAACACGTATTCATTATATTCTTATGTACAGTTCTGAAAATAAGTTTGACGCAAATCGGACACCACCTAAAATTCACCAAAAAAAATCTTTGAAATGCACTCTTCACCGAAGGAGTTTAGATTTTGCGAAAAATGTGAAACACGTCATAAATGATTTTGCATATAGATCCTTGAAAATGAATTTGAGGGCGAAACGTCATCCACCAAATATTTGACCCCCATTTCGACCAAAATGAATACATTTTTGGAAAAGTGTGAAACACCTCTCAAATGAATTTGAACAAATATCTTTGAAATTGAGTTTAAGACCGATTGGATAGTAAGCAAAAGTTTCGTACTAACGTTGAATGAACGAATGAACTGTAAGAGTAAGATTGCTAAGGTTATCAACCGAACGCTGAGCTTCAATAGAATATAACATTCTAGAAATTTTATTAAAATATAAATAAAAGCAATGTTAAGTATGTCATTTGTTTATCAGCTTTTAGAGAATGTAATTGTTTTTTGCTCTTCATGTGAAAATCAATCAAATATATAGAATGCTGCATTATGAGTGATTTGCCATTGAAATGTTTCACAGTTGAATGCCTGGTATCAATTATTAATATATTTATTACTTTAATTTATTATTTTTCACAAAAAATAAAATAAAACAATAAAAATAGCTAAAATGGAGGGTTTTTTCGACGTCTTACTCAATCTAATATACACTATAATTAGAGTTTTTAATCCCCAGTCGCACTTTTATCGGGAACATTTAACAAATATTTTTTTAAAGAAGTGTACACATTACAGCTCTTAATTATAGTATCGTCATACCTTTATATATACTGTCCCTTTTTTTGTTTTCTTTTCCTTCAATATTTGTGGTCTGAGTTCTGTATTATTTAATTTTTGACTCACATGGCAAGCGCTGTATTTTTACTGATGCACATTGTCGAATATCTTCACACAATCATAATCTGCTGTTAGCAGCAATTGCTATTTTTCACATTGGTGTCTCCTTATGATCGGTATTTTATATCAAAAGTGTAGGTGTTTGGAGTGTGTCTGATAGTATTTTGACAATCGCCTGCCTGTTGGCAAAATGCTTTACCAAAAAAAAGCTGATTTACTATGCTTGGTAATCATGATTCTCTTTATGATTTCTTCCATTTATTTAGCTTAAGTTCTTTTTTGCTATTATATTATCACATAGTCTGGGATAATTTTTTTCATTAGCATTGTTTTTAAACCCTGAACCCATTGAAAATGGATACAAAGAATATAATGTATATGTGTATATGTATGTAACAGACAGAAAGACGCATCTCCAACCCCATAAAGTATAAAAATTCTTGAACGGCATCAATAGCCGAGTCGATCTAGCCATGTCCGTCTGTCTGTCCGTTCGTCCGTCCTTCCATATGTATGAACTCACTGATCTCAGAATCTGTGCCTTCACAGTACGAGTTTGTTTCCGATGATCGATAACTTGCCCCGTTTCCAAGTACTCGATCAAAATCGATTTCGAAATCGTGTCTTTTGAGCAAATCTCTTAGGACTTTAAAGCTGGAGTCACCAAACTCGACATGTATCATCTAGAATAGTATATACAATATTAAGTGTCTTTCGCCACCTCCCTGCTACCGACACATAGCTATAAATCAAGCAAATTTGTATTGACTAGCAATTTGAGTTACAATTTTAATGCAATTTTTTTTAAAGAATACATGAATATTCTATAGTACAATAAAATCGACTGTGGAAAATTTATCAAGATCGGTTAAGAAACACAAAAGTTATTAAATATAGTGTGTACTTATATTGACACGTGTTTTCTGCAGCTAGCGCAAATTACAAGAATTTTTGTATACATATACACACACATTCATGCGCATTTTGATTGCACTCAATCAACAGCATTGCAATTGAGGTTCTATTGTATTCTAGACTGTGTGTATGTGCTGATATTTTAATTCGTTTTTTTCTCGCCAAAAAATAATTGTTGGTTTGACTGTCAAGTAGAGGCGGTTGCAAATAGTGCGGTTGGTATGAGTTCGGGTTCGATTAGGAAGCCTTTTTTTTTATATTTTTTTATTTCATTACTGCTTTTGGTGTTGGTAGAAGAGGGTTCAGCCAAAGAAAATAAAAACACTAAGATGAGTAACGCTATACAACAAAATGCTATTATGCAGCTTGATTTTTTGAAAATTGAGAACGAAAACGAAATCTGTAGTATTGCGCTCTCACAGCCGAGAGAACGAAAAAGCTAAAAATAGAATGTGTTCTCAGCTTCGGCTCTATGAGGGCCGTGCAAGCAATTATGTTTGTATCCGTGTGAATATACATACATAACAGCATATTTGAATGTGTTGTTATCCACTGCTCTGGCAAAGTCTCTGGCTGGCAAAGAAACAATTCTCCTAGTTTTTAAGCGCAGATCACGACCTACCCCAAATTTTGTGAACTAAGGTGAACTCCGTACAAAATATGTATTTTAAAGTCGATGCAAATATTTGTGTAATTTTTTATATTTGAAATTATTAATTAAATTATTTTTATTTTTAAGTAATACACTCTTTTATCACTCTTTTATTTCTTAATTGGAGAATAAAAATAATATTAATTTCGCAATTCGGGTCCTATCGAGGGTTATATATATTTTTTTTAAATTAATTTTATTACTACTTCAGCAAACGAGCGTGACCTGCATTTGGTATTGGTCGTAGAGGGTGCAGTGTATCCCGTAGTCGGGAACTCCCGACTATAGCCCCATCGCTTAAGGTACACTCTGTGAATAATGTCGTAGAGTGTTGGTATTTTCGAATTAAATGGTATTTGTTGGAATAAAAATGTATTATTCATCCAGATGGAACTTCTTCTTTGTGCCAAATCCTTGTTTTATATTGTCTGTTTACTATATCATTTACGTTTTGTTATTTTAAAATACATATGATATCGTCCAAATATTTATACATGTGTTTAATGTTTTGGCAGTCCGTATATTCTCGAGGCGTACTTTCAAGAGCATTATAATTTTAGTATCAGTCTGAAAAGTATGCGGGTCAGAAGTAAATTCTTTTTGTTCACTAGCTGTATTTATGGGCCCTTTCCTGTTGTTTGTATGTTGTCTTGTTATTCAATATCACCTTTTCTTGATAACTATTTTTATGCCTGCTAACCATTTTGTTGCTTTTGTCAGCTTGTATAATGATAACTTTTGTCGTGGTGCTCTCCCAATAACTTCTCTGATGTTTGATATTAACTTCAATGCTATGAAACGTATTATTTAGCTGACCCTGACCAATCGCTTGCGTAGCCCGGGCGTTAAGCTACGAAACCTCTTGAAGTCGGAAGTCAACAATATTTTTTATTTGTACATAAATTGAAATACATATTTTCTTTTTAACTGTGAAACCAGAGTTTTTTCCTTTCTGAAAATAAATACGGACATTTATGTTTTGTTGATAACGGTGCTGATTCGCATAACAGTGTATACCTCAAAAGAAAGCACACAAGAGTAGACTTTGGATTTGCTAGCTTTGTTTTTGCGTTGCTTATAATTCTCAAGTGCTTAAAACTTCGGACTGACGACAAAACCTTGCAGTTCTAGAGTCGGCAACATCGTCTGCTGATGGCAAACATGGGAGGATCTGAAATAGCTATACAACCTGCTCATTCTTGATGCTTATACCTATTTAAAACAACTTAACTTCGCGCCAGTCGGATTAAAATTAGTTTACACTAAATAGATGACGCCTTGATATATTTTTCAATGGTATATATTTTTGTGCGTATTTGAAAAAGTCGATTTCGTAGCCTTGGTTACTAAACATATTTTGTAACCGCAGA